TACCATAATCACGAGCTTTATTAGGCCCATTTGGTGTGTGTGTGAAGAAAGATAAGTATGTTTACTTATAAATCGTATCCTGTGTTTATGGGCGACAATCTAGGGTTATATTCTATACACTTATATACACACACCTCTCATGTATACCAATACTATTCATAGATGGAATTGCAACACGCTCTTATATGATCATGCATGCAATTTATTGAATAATACGAATCGAGTATATAATGGTTTTAATTCGATATATACATCATTAACTTTGTGTTGGTGATCAAACGGTTTTCTCCTCTAGTAGAGAAATACATTGGAAATGTTCTTTAACCCATTATTAGCTTATAAGAAAACAATAAAATTATTGGTCTAGCACCATCGGAAACGGACAAAAGAGTTGGACTACCCCACTCAGTGGCACAAACATGTAATTTCCACTTAACACTTATGCTCTTTCTCGAATTCATCGTCATCTTTGTTTTTAATAAGACGGTACCTTTACTTTTTCACAGAGGAGGAAGAGGAAAAAAAAAAGAGCAGCTAATTTGATTTTGCTTGTTCTGATTTCTGAAGCTTAATCAATGGCTGGAATCTTGAAGCTCGAAGCTTGGAGTATATTGTGAAGAAGAAAAAGATTTCTTAATTTGTTTTCCTCTATTCTTACCGGAAAATGGCATGTCCAAGTATGATCGCTCGCAGCTTAGATCCTGAACGGAAGCAAAGTGGAGGACTTAGAACAAAACAAGCGGGACGAGGATCTTGCCGTGGAAGTTAGTCTTTGCTCATCCTTCCAAAAATCAATCTCCTTAGAGAATGTAATATTAATGGGTTTCTTTCTTGAAAGTTTTTTTTTTCTTTTTAGAGTTAAAAGTTTTGAACTTTTGTTTCCTTTTGCAGTTTGAAGATTGTTCTAGTTGGTTTTGGGTTTTCTAAAGATGGGAGTTTTGCTCAGAGAAGCGTTGAGGTCCATGTGCGTTAACAATCAATGGTCTTATGCTGTTTTCTGGAAAATCGGCTGCCAAAATTCTAGGTACCTTTTGTGTTCTTTCCCTTAAAGTTTGTGTTTTTAGATCGAAAACACAATATTTGTTTCTTAGTTTCAAGTTAAGGAATTTGATTAGACTCAGATCTCGAGGACGACTGGAATTGTTTATTCTTGGAGTTTTGTGTTTGGTTTGATCTTGCTTGTCCAAAAGAATCTTTCGATTTGTAGTTGTTTCTCTGCTTATTGTTTATGAATTGTCCAAGAGTTCAAGCACAAGGCTTTCTTCTTAACTGTTTGCTTACAACATCCTTATTGTTTATAACTTTATTGTTTCATATCTTTCTTCCTTTTTGTGCAGCTTGCTGATCTGGGAGGAATGCTACATGGAGACCACATCGAGCTCACTTCCTCAAAGACTTTCTGGACTCGATCTTGATACACAAGGGAATGAGAAAGTTCATTTGCTTACAAACAGAATGATGTTGAACAATCGAATTATTCTGGTAGGTGAAGGGTATGTATCTGTGTCCCTCCCTTCCATTGCTTTTTTTTTTTTTACAGTTGCTTATCCACAGATTGATGAACTGGATTTGCTCTTTCATATTTCTGCTGCATTTCAGGTTAGTTGGCCGAGCTGCATTTACCGGGCATCATCAATGGATTTTATCAAACAGTTTCAACCGCAATGTTCATCCACCTGAGGTTATTAATGAGATGCTTCTCCAGTTCTCTGCTGGTATTCAGGTTTGATACTCTTGACTCTTTGAGTAAAC